GGCGGGGCTGGCTGGCATGTGGTGCTGGGGGATTGAACCGCGGTCCCTGTGCTTTGCTAAGCTTGTTCTAAGTAGGTGCTTTAGAACACTGAGCCATCTCCCCAGCCCATTCAGGATGACTTCCAATATTCAAACTACTAGGAAACAAATTGAAACCACAGCAGATGTGAATTTCTCAGAGGCAAAGTTTGTATTGTACCAGTCTTTGCTTCCAAGCCAAGCACACTGCCCAGCACATGGAAATTGTTTCTTAGATAAATCTCTGAATAAACAGATTATGTAAGAAGATATCTTACATAATCTATACACACACACACACACACACACACACACACACACACAAGCACACTCTTACATCTTATTTTCTACTTTTTTAAAAGTTCAATATTTTTCACAAAGTCAGTTCCTCATCATTTGATTTTAAAATGGATGCCCAGTTTCTTCTTCTGCCACTGGTACGAAAGAGCATACATACCCGTTATAGGACTCAGAGACACCTGCGAATGGCTCGTTTTTACATTTGGCACAAATTAGCAAAAACGTCAGCACAAGGGCGACTCCCGAAGTGAGCAAGGCGAGCTTCATGGCATGTTTACATGTCATTTTGAACTTTGAAACGATGACACCACCGAGAATCTGCCCAAGAGCAGCTCCGGGAATTAAAACAGCTCCTAAGGAGAAAAACAGTGAGAAAGCACCGAGTGCGCTCAGTAACGCGGACTGACCGAGAAAAGGCACCAAGACAACTCCCCTGCAGCCGTCACACATAGAACTATCTGTCCAACGCAGGAATATATGCATAAATGCCTGAACAGCTCCAGCAAGTAAGCGCTGAGGAAAAGTCAACAGTGAACCTTAAGATTTCTCTTTAGTGTGCAGGGTTTTTCTCCCTGAGTCCATAAAATAAACTGATCTCAGAAAATTAAAAATCACAGTAAGGTGTAAATTCAGGATGTGGGATATCCAAATACTGTACATACACGCACTTATATTTTTGTGTAGAGAAAGTTATTAGAGTAAAAGAGAATAAAGAAAATGCTTCACCTCCAATGGTAGCTGCAAAGCTGGATGTCAGTCCAAACTGATTTTCTATAAGTTTAGGCAAAAATGTAGCAAATCCAGTAGTAATTAAGGCTTCTGAAGACGTTGACAGAACTAAACATACAAAGACAGTATTCCTCATCAAATTCTAAAGAAAAAATACAGTTCACCAAATAAATAACTCTGATCATATTAGCAAAGGTAACATTCAAATGATAGTGCAATCAAATGGCAAAAAATTATAATACATACCATGTACTTATTATTTTTTAAAATTGTGTATGCGCATGTCTGCTGTGTTTTTTTTATTTTGTTTGCTTGTTTTTTTTATGTATTTAGTACAGGATCTACAGGGTGTCACTACACAGGTTGGACTTGTAGTGATCCTCCTGTTTTCAGCCTCCCAAGTGCTGGGATTGTAGGCACAAGGAGTCACCATGCCCACTCTGTGCTTATTGTTAAAAACTGTAGCTTTGTACACCATAAAAATTCAGCCATGGATAACTGCTAGACAGAGCACCTAAAGGACTGATAAATGATTTTGTCTTTATCAGACTCAAGGGGCCAGGAGGGAGGGCGAAACCTATTTAAAAATCTTGTCGTGGGCCAGCAAGATAGCTCAGCAGTCTAAAGTGCCTGCTTAGTCAAGCTTAGGCAGGTGCAGAGGACTATGGTTCAATCCCCAGTACCAGATGCCATGTCAGCCAGCCAAAAAAAAAAACAAAACAAAAAAAAGATTATAGTTAAAAAAGTTATGGCCATGGTAGTTTACCATGAGCTCCCCTATCCTGACCCACAGAGATCAATAACTGCATTAGATATGGGTGCATTTTAATCCATGTCGCCATTTTTGAAGATTATAAAATGGAAAGCTAGCCTGGAAACACTAAATAAATACAGTCAAGGGATATAAGATTGTAAGCATTAGAAAGATTTTTGCACTTGTTTTTTTTTTTTTTTTTTTTTTTTGGAATATAGTAAGCCCATAGCAAATCCTCATGGGAGACTCGAAGAAATTCTTGCTCTTGATCAATTTCAATTGCGAAGCCTTTTAGTATGTTTCCCTTTTGCTTTCATGCTAAAAGGGAAAATATGATTCTAGGTGTTCAGGGCTGTTATTAATTATGATAGTTGTATAAAATTGTTTCACTGTGTTTGTTCAATTATTTTATTTTATGTATATTGTTCACAGCTTTGGGGGAAAACATACTAACTGTTGTTCCTTATAAATGGTGCACATTATTGACATAGACAAATGACCTTTCTAATTTTTTTGTTTGATTTTTTTATTTGTTGGTTCCAGAGATCAAACTCAGGACTCCGTGTCAGTCAGGTAGGCACTCATGCCACAGAGCTATCTGTCTCGCTGAGCTCCTCTAATTGCTTCTGATTTTTTAAAGCAAAGGTTGCCTTCCCCAGTCTTATTCGAAATGTCCATACTACAGACCTACCACTTGTTTGATTTCTGAAATTGTGTTCCGAATTCCTTCCTGCACTAGTGCTTGCTTCGGAAGCACCTATACTGACTCTGGGGCGCAAGAGGTGAAGGACTTAAGGCAGCACAGGGACCGTGCTCTCTAAGCTCAGGACACGGCACTGCCCCTCAGGGAAAGCACGCAGGAATCAAGAGCGTCAGATGAGTGGAAGGCTGGGCACCTGACACAGCTGGCCGTACTGACCAAGGGCTCTGAAGCCTTCCACTTAGGCATAACTAGCATAGTTCCTAGAGTCAGACATAGATTTTTAAAATTCACAAAACTTACACATGGAAATAGCAAGTCAAGATGCATGCGTGGAACTTCCCAAATGCCACACATTTAAGTAAAAAGACTGAACAATACCCAGAGACTAATGAGATGAAAGGGAAATAATCCAAAAGCATTCATGTGGCCAGAAAAATCAGTCAAGGATACTTCAGTGATGTCCTAGTCCAAGAATAAAAGGCTATACACATAAAGACCTGAATCTGAATCCCTAAGCAGAAAGCCACGGGAATTAGAAAAGAACAACAGTGAGTAACGGCTATTGATAATGTAAATTAGAATTTATAAAACACACAGCAGAAGTCTTATAAAGTAATAGTAGTTGGAATTAAACTTATCAACAATCACACAACAACATGCATGTCTATGGCAGCGGAGAGAGGCTGAAAGGTAATGGAGAACTATGAAACATGGACAGAGCCAATACAACAACTCGCACAATTTCAGTTCTCCTACCCTGGAATTGTTTCACCTTAAGCGCAACGAGGTAACCCGGCTGTGTGTGTGTGGTAGTGCAAGCCTGTAACTGCCGCACTCCGTGCACTGAAGGCAGAAAGACTGCAAGCTTGAGGTGCCTGGCTACACAGTGAGACCCGCCTCCAGAGATGATAAGCTGCCGGGCGTGGCAGTGCACCCCTGTAATCCCAGTGCTGGAGAGGCTGGGGCAGCAGGATCACCGAGAGTTCAGGCTCAGCCAGGTTGCATAGTGAGGTCTACATAGTGAGTTCAAGGTCAGACTGGACGACATAGTGAGACCCTATGTCAAAAAATCAGTTTGAAGAGTTGTTTCTAAGCTAGAATGGCCGTTAGTAAGCAAATAAGAATACATTATATGGGGAAATGAGGGTATAATGACTCAAATATTTGCTTAGATGGTATGTTTTTAAAAATTCATTTTGCATATTGTTAAGCTTAAATAATATCTGTAGTTGATATGATGAGGTGAATTGAATGAGAGCACTTATTAAGCAATAATAAAGTCATCTTGGTTTAACTTTCAAAAAAAAGAATACATTATAAAATTTTGCGTGGTAATGTATGTATGCATATTGCATGTTTGAATGAATGTATGGCTCTCTGTACACAGTACAAATACACAACTTATGTACATGTGCACACACACATATATATGTACACATGTGCAAGAGAAAGAGACAGAAAGAGAAAAAGAGAAAACATTTTATTGTACCTTTAGAGCTGCTGGAAAGTCTTTAATAGTTTGCCCGAAATCCTCATCTAGATGTGATAAGGCGCTGCTTTTACTCTGATGTGTCTGGGAAGTTTTTGCAGCTTGAATTTTTGCTGTACCTACAAATACAGGAAGCTTATTTGCTCTGTCATTTCATTCATTTTTTTCCTTCCACTCCCTTCTACTTCTTATCCCTAGCCCCTCCCTTCCCTTCCTCTCCTGGTCCCTTTCTTCCTACTTCCCAATATCTATCACCTGTTTTCATCCTTATTTACCCTTCAAGTTTCTCACAGAAGAGAAAAAATGTAATATTAAAGCAGGTGTGTTTAATTTATTTCGTTAAAAGTATGGCCTCAAGCCAGCTAGATAGCTCAGAGGTCTAAGTGCCTGCATGGCAAGCTCAGGGACCCCGATTCAATCCCCAACATCACAGGCCAAGCTGGTTCACCCTAGGCACACTGAGCTGGCCACCGAGACTGGGCGTGGTGGCACACACCTGTGATCCCAGTGTTGAAGAGGCTGCAAACAGGCAGATCACTATGAGTCTGAGCTGCGTAGTGAGACCCTATAGCAAATACATACAAAAATACTAACAACAACAACAAAAAGTATGGCCTCAAGGTGTACTTATCTAAAAATGCCTAAACTCTATCCTTTGTTATGGCGGAGCAGTAGGATTACTTTTTCACTGACACATACTTCCACAATGATATAAATTCCATAACACAAGAGATCAGTTCCCCTCTGTGAACAAAACTGTTCAGATATTTGTCATTAGGGGGAGCTAGGAGCTGGACTTCATCCACACTAAGTAAGTGTCAACCAGTCTAAACGTCAAAACTTCTCTCCCAACACATCCTCTTGTCCATTGAAGTCTTAATTTTTTCTCCCTATCAAATAGTTCTTTTTAAATCATTTACATATAAACTGTATTTATGTCTTTTTTCTCTTCTTCCTTAAGGGAAAAATATGACTAACAGATAAATAATATTTGCTATATATCACCGTGAACCTTTGATTTTCAGTAACGGTACTGTGAATAAATCTCAAGAAACAGTCAACATACAGAATTAGTAATTGCATGGCCCAGCGTATAAAGAAATCGATGAGTCCATTTACTTCTGGTCTGTCAAATTTTATTTTTTTATTTGTTTTCTATGTATTTAGTACAGGGTCTACAAGGCCTCAACTACATATATCGGACTCACTCGTACTGATCCTCCTGTGTTCAGCCCCCCAAGTGCTGGGATTACAGTTGTGCACCATCACACCCAGTCTCAATCTCCATCTCAGCGTGCCCCAAGGGTGGGGCTGGCACAGCAGGCCAGGGATCAAAGCCCAGGCCCTATGCTCTGTCAAGTTTTAATTTGCCTATTTCCAAAAGTCAATCATCTATTCTGATGCAAATGTCAATGGAAATACATCCCTTCAACCTAGAGAAAAATAGTTCTATAGGTATGCATTTTAATTACAGAAGCATGATCTCATGAAGGAAAATTTTCTTTTATGAAAAGTCTAATATTGAAATTTTAATAATGAAATTTGGTAAAAATGGGTACTACAGCATAACTTTGATAAAAACTAAAAATAAAAGTACTTGCACTTTCGACTACAAGTAATTAAGATGAAAGATGTAAAGCAGGTTGGTCCTTGGAATGAGTGACTAACTGAACACAAACTAGTATTTTGAAAGATACTCTACCTTGCATACACTTAAAGTAAGAACTGATAAAAAATACAATAAACAAATTTACTGAGTAATAGACATGAACAGTTTTATTATTAATTAAAAACAGAGAAAAATGTCAAGGTTAAGATTGTTAGTCAATATATTCTAAAATAAATATAAATATGTGAAAGTGTATATAGGCCAACAATTGAGGTTTTATAAAATAAGGTGAATCTGTTTCATATTTATCGTGGAGAAAACAACATCTGGCCTAGAATTGGAATAAAACATTTGAACTTAAAGAAAACAAGTTTACCTGGTAAATGTTTTGGAAAGCAAGAGAAAGGTATTATCAAAGACCAAGCGAAGATCCAGGACACAAGAAATCCAATCCACCAAGCCCCCAGCCATCGAGGGTCATCTTTAGTGATATCAACGCTACACGAGAGAAAAGCAGAAGTAAAGGTCAGATCATCTTGCTCATTACAGCTCAGCTGTGAAGACCATATGGCTTACAGCTCAAGCGCAGACAGCAGAGTAGTGCTATCATAGCCAACTTTCAATGAAGCCATTGTGCTGACAATAGCACACACAAATAGGTTTAGAAAGTATTTTCAACCAACAAATACGATGTTGTTTCAGCCTCCCAGCACTGGCATTACAGGAGCGCACCACCACACCCAGTCTTGGTGGTTGGCTCAGGGCACCCGGGGCAGGGCTGGCATGGCATGTAATACCGGGGATCTAACCCAGGTCCTTGTGCTTGCCTAGGTAGCACTTAGACTGCTGAGCCATCCCCACGGCCCTAAATGTCACTTCTTAAAAACCTGACTCTGTGCTTCCAGCACTACTTCTGCATGCCTTTGAATAGTGTTTAAATCACTAGCCTCAACCAGCAACTGGAAGAACAGAGATCTAGGGACACATTTTCTTATTCATTGTTCAGGTCACACCAAGGGTTATGCAGTTGTGACCTATCAACTTGCTCAATGGCAAAATAAGGGGCCTCATCAAGGTCCTTAGTGTCTACATTTAAAAAAGGAGAGGATAGGTACCTTAGTGGTAAGGGGGGATTTGGGAGTGAACTAGTCTACCTCAAATCATGAGTTGACCATTTACTAATGCATAGGTATCAACTGTGGTATGGGATGGTTGGGAGGAGTAAGCGAAATAAAATAATGTGGTGCAAGTTACCACGAAAATGTCAGAACAAAAATGTATGCTTAGAAGAGTGTGGGATTGGGCTGGTGAGATGGCTCAGTGGTCTAAAGCACCTACTTAGAACAAGCTTAGCAAAACACAGGGACCGCGGTTCAATCCCCCAGCACCACATGCCAGCCAGCCCCGCCCCCCCCCAGGGCTGAGCTGGCCACACACACACACATACACACATAAATAAATAAATAAAATTAAGAAAAAAAGAAGAGTGTGGGATTAATGTTATCTATTATTATTATATTGTCACAGCTGTTAAAGTGACATAATTTGTATCAGTATGCCATTATAAGAGCTACCAGAGGCCCTACTCTGAGAATCATAGTCTTTTGAGTACTTGAGGCTATCTATGTAGGCTAAATAAATCTAATGAAAATACAACTGTTATTGACTTCTTTTTTAAAATAAAAATTTAATTTCACCAGGTTACTGTATTATACACCCATAATTATGAATAAGGAGAAGCTATAGTATTGATTCATGAAGCTTAAAGTAATATATCATTCAAAAATTGTGTATAGTCAAGTTTTGTTTCCTAAAACATCCCTCCACAGCATCGCTGGTGTAGTGGTATCATGCAAGATTCCCCCTAAAACGTCCCTCATGCCATTCTGAGTAAATAGGATGAAAGCATTCCACCCATGATGTCAGCATTATGAAAGAAAAGAAAAATAAAATAAGAGAAATGTCCTTGCCTCTGTCCTACAGCAAAATCAATGTATACGTTTAGCAGCTGTCCTCCCAACACGTAGCCGATGGCAGGGCCAAAGAGCGACATAGAATAGCCAATCCCTAGAAGAAGAAAAAAAGACATTGGAAATACCCACGTGTCCTTTTCTTTATCTGGCTAGCAATAAGAAGGAAGAAAAATCATTTATGTAGAAAAATCTCAATGACTAGATCTAAATCAAAATTATACAGGCTTTCCATAAAAAGTAGCTTCTGCATGGTATTACTCGGTTGATGGTTAAGTCAAGTAACTTAACATGCATGACTCACTGTAAAAGCTGTTTGACTATAATAATAATTACAATAAACCCAATAATTAAAATCCATGGAAAGTTACGTTCCCCTGTGTTAGGGGTAGCGGCTCTACCATTATCCCATTGGTGACAATGATAATTATTGTTTATAATCTTGTGGAAGAAAATGATGTGAAGTAACATCTCCCCGCGCTGCCCTCACGTGGAAAGCACTCTACTTCGCACTGACATAAATGTGAAACCTGGCTCTGTGGACAGGTCTGTTTCTGAAGAGTGAGCCATTTGTTCTCAGCAAGTCTAACAGCAGGATTCAGTTGAGTTGCTGTCTGTCAAATATTTAATTTTTGCCATATATAATTTAGAGCTTTGCAAAACAAAATTCAGTGTTTTACCATCCTTGAGATTTTATTAGCTGCTGAGAATAATAAACTTTGTTCATACTCAAAACTAAGCACATAGGTGGTCAAAAAATTCCTATGCACAAGATAAGTCTAACACACAGCTCATCTGAAAACAAGTAAGAATTTTATTTTCCCTTTTTCTTTTTAATTTTTATATTTGGTACAGGATCTCCCTACGCAGCTTGGACTCATACTGATCCTCCTCTTTTCGGCCTCACCAGCAATAGGATTACAGGCGTACACCACCCCGCCGGGTCTCGGTTGCCGGCTAAGTGAGCACCAGGGGCTGGCCTGGCAGGGCATGTGGTGCTGGAGATCGAACCTTGGTCCCTGCACTTGCCTAAACAAGTGTTTAGTCTGTTGCGATATCTCACCGGCCTTTACAGAACTTTCTCTTTCAACCACCTTATTTTATAGTTGTACTTTATAATGCAAAATATATTAGTAGAAAAACCCAAGTACATAATTTATAAAGGATTGAGTGTGCATATATAAAGGAACCATGCTCAGAATATTTCAGGACTAAGAGTACACGATTTAGATGCTGGAGCTCGGCATGGTGGTGCACACCTACAGTCCAGCAGGCAGTGGCTGGATCACTGAGTTTGAGGCCAACCTGAGCTACAAAGAGAATCCAAGGTCAGCCTGAACTGCACAGCAAAAGCCCACCACAAAACAGACCAAAAAAACCCTGCTGGAAATGTGTCATTTATAAATTGTTTTGGTTGATGGACTTTCAAAAATAGCTTCCAGTTGGCCCACACTGATAAAATTGTGAAGACACTAGTTATCAACTTAAAGTCATAAAACTGCTTCAGAAGTTTCCATAGTAAGCTTTCTGAAGTTCAGAAGGGAATGTGGTAATGGAAGACACAGGAAGGAGGAAAAGTATTTATCACATATTATGAACATGCATACTAACATTCAGTGACTGGGCAATAATTCTCTATGATAATATATGGTAACCATATAAAACAAGATAATATAAAGTAATAAAGAGAAAACTGAATAATTAAATGCTGGGCCTTGCATAGTCTATTTAGCTCCAGGCCTCAGGGAATAATTTACAAGGAACTTAAACTACAGAACAAACAAAAATGAGCCATGTATTCAAAAATTTTAATGTTCTGTGGAAAACTCCACCGCATTTCTGGACGCCTTCTGTGGCTAATATGGTGGACTCCAGAAGTTCACACAAGAGCCAGTAAGTCACAATCTCCACACCCCATGTCTGGGATTCAAGCAACCAAGACGAAAGGCTGCTTGGATGACTCATGCCATCCAGTAAGGTTCGCATAGCCGGAGCAGGACGTCAAGAGCAGCCACTAGGTGTTCTATTCCCTGACTTGATAGGATGGTCAGGAATTAAATACATAAACATTACACTGCACTTACCTCATGGAAACACCTACCGCATGGTGAGAAACTTTTTAATAAGCCTATGTTATGCTTTACTCTACACTACACAAACAAGAAGACAAAATGATACTGAGACTGTTCCAGTAAAGAGCGGACTCACCTATGTAGAGGGAAGCTTTGTGTGTGGGCACAGACTCATCGATGAAGGCTGTGCCCAGGGTGTACAGAGGGGTGCCCCCGACCCCCAGCAACAGCTGGCCCAGGATGAAGATGTACAGGTAGTTAGAAAGCGAAGATCTCGAAGACGTGCAGCTCGTGCTGTTTCTGGCTAAGCAAGTATCTTTGGTGGAAAACAAAAAGGCAATTCATAGAAAGTCAGCTCATTATTTAAGTATCTTGTCTAGCATAATCTTTAATTATTTCTTCCAATCACTTCATTTTGGTATTCAAACTACTTAGAGTACTACAGAAAATAAGGGGAAAATGTTACATGCCAGCACTTAGAAAATATACAGCAAAACTAAGAAGTATTACATGAAGAATCAAAATGAATGAGATTTATTTATTTATTCATTTATTTGTATTTTAGTAAGGGTCTGTCTACAGGGTCTCACTATGTAGATCAGACTCATAGTGATCTGCCTGTGTTCAGTCTCCCAAGAGCTGGGATTACAGGCAAGCACCACCACACCCAGTCTCAGTTGCCATCTCAGCACACCCAGGGGTGGGGGCAGCATGGTAGTCTGGGGACTGAACTTCTGTCCCCTGTGTCTGACTAAGCAGGCACTTTAATCCACTGAGCTATTTGGCTGGCCCTAAAAATGAATGAATTTTAAATAAACCAATCTAAACACAATCAAAGCAACTGGTGCCATGGAATTACAGTTTCTAGATTAAGACAGAAAAAGGTAGGTTTTTTTTTTTTTCCCAAGTCAGAAATTCAAAATAACCAATATAATTTACTTTACATACATTTGAAAGCCATACTTACATTACAGGATTTTTTTTTCAATGTATTTGGTATAGGGTCTCACTACACAGCTCAGACTCGAAGTGATCCTCCTGTTTTCAGCCTCCCCAGTGCCGAGATTACAGGTGTGTGCCACCACCCCAGTCTCAGTGACCAGCAAGGCATGCCCAAGGTTCCAGGGCCACACAGCATGTGATGCCAGGGATCGAACCTTGGTCCCTGCACTTTGCCTAAGCAGACACTTAGTCCACTGAGCTATCTCACCAGCCCCATTGTAGCATTTTGACCAAAGTAGTAAATATAAATATTTACTATGAAGCAAAAAAATTGAACTTACATCTAGTTCTCTTTTATAGTCCAAACTGTTTTATTAAATTTCTTTTTTGGAAAAAAAAATTGTTTTCTGAAACAATATTCAGGGGGCCAGGGAGATGGCTCAGTGGAATGAGTGCTTCCCTGGCAAGTGCAAGGGCCTGAGTTCAATCCCTGGTTCCGCAAAAACAAAAACAAATCAAAACTTGAAACAATATTCAGGGTTGGGGCTAGGGATATAGCTCAGAGGCACAAGTACCTGCCTGGCAAGTACAAGGTCCTGAGCTCGATGCCTGGTACAAAAAAAAAAAAAAAAAAAAAAATTTAGGGTATTAGGGTATTGCTATGAATATCATCAAAGGAAAAAATAGATATCTTTAAGATGTGATTGCAATCTTTTTTAAAAAATAACATTAAGAGTAAAGATAGAATATCACACTACATCCATATTTCTTATACTCATTTAGTATTAACGAAATGAGATGCCTGTGAAAAGCACTATTTCCAAAACTTTCTCTCTCAAGCTGACACAACTACTCAGGGATCAACGTTTAACAACAGCCTCAGTTCATTTCACTTTCATTTCCTTTATTTAGGTGAAGACTAATTACTTTCTCATGGGTAAGCACAGCCCCTCGAGATTTTTCTACCTGGTGTCAAGAAGCTAAGTTCACAGTCATCCAATTAAGCTCACAGTTATGCAAATCCAGGCATAAAACACACACTCTTACATTTCAAATATACCTTCCAAGATTATATGTTCATATTATAGTGCATTGATAAGTATCTTGGCAGATAACTTGTATCTGTAATTGCAGCAATCTACTTTATCCATCAACTCCCTCGCCACAGCAAGCATGTCAAACGGCACAGAAGAGTATCAGGAGCAAACCAAACTCCCTCCTGCCGGCGCGTGCTTTACTCAGCCCGACCTAGCTTGGAAGCAGGTAAAATTGAACTTACATCTAGTTCTGCAGGCAGTGGGGCCGTTTACAATCAAGTTGCAGACACTCAATTTCCACACACCTGTAACCACACTACACATAATTATCTGTATATTCAACGGTTTAAAGTTTTCACTCAAATCCTGGCATCTTTTTCTCTTACTGAGATAAGGACTTACTATGTTGCTCAGACTGGTCTCAAACTCCTAGGCTCAAACTCTTCTGACTCAGCTTGCTTGCTTGTTTGCTTTTCTTCCTTCCTTCCTTTTTTCCTTCCTTCCTTCCTTCCTTCCTTCCTTCCTTCCTTCCTTCCTTCTTTCTTTCTTTCTTTCTTTCTTTGTATTTAGAAGAGGGTCTACAGGGTCTTACTACATAGATTGGTCTCATAGTGATTCTCCTGTTTTCAGCCTCCCAAACTCTGGGATTACAGGCATGTGCCACCACACCTAGCCTCAATCACAGTCTCAGTGTGCCCTGGGGAGGGGGCCGGCACAGCATGCCAGGGATTCTTTTTCAATTTGAGATAGTCTTGCTATGTAGTACTGGCTGGTCTTGAACTCACTATGTAGCCCAGGATGTCCTCAAACTCAAGGCAATCTTCCTGCTTCAGCCTCTGGAATACAGAGATTACAAGCACGTGCCACCACACCCCACTGCCTCAATCATCCAAGTAGCTGGGATTACTGACCTATTTGCCCCTAGGTACTGACATCTTATAGCCTGAACTTAAAACTATTAAAATGTGATTGCTGGCATTGTTACAATATTCTACAGCATCAATTTCCCATCATTTATTTTCCTAGCCTACTGTATATATTTTAAAATCATGTAATGGATACTATCATACATATTTAATTCATTTTCGTTCTTCCATTACAATTTTGTGGCATGTATTTTCCTCTTACTTTTGAAATTTTTCAGCATTGAGAACTAATAGCAACACCTCACCCACACAAGGCACATGCGCTAGCATCGAGCCACAGCCAATGCTTTCTTACAATTTCTTTTTGAGGCAGGATCTCACTGGTTGCCCAAACTGACCTCAGACTTCGTATCCTCCTGCCTCAGACTCTCATGTAGGTGGGTTCTAACCTTGACCTGTGCTACAGTACCCAGAACCTACAATTCTACATCCACCTTGACACAGTTGGGCAATCCCATCTGCAGGATGGGTTTGAAAAGACAGTACTGCTAGGTCAAGTGTACAGTATAGGTTTCGATACTACTTTAGCAAAGAGATACACAAACATGAAGTCCAACCAACATTGCAGTAGCACTTCACACAATAAAATTTAAATTACTACTGATCACATTAGTTAAAAAGAACAAACATTTTTTTTAACTTTTAAAAGTTATTGAGGGGCTGGGGAGATAGTTTGGCAGTCTAAGTGCCTGTCTGGCAAGTGCAAGGACCTGGGTTCAATCCCCAGTACCACATGCTGTGACTGCCTTGCCAGCCACTGAAACCGGGTTTGGTGGCACATGTCTGAAATCCCAGTGCTGGGGAGGCCTAGACAGGAGGATCACTACAAGTTCAAGTTGTGTAGCAAGATCTTGCACCAAATAAATAAAGATTATTTTTTAAAAAATCTTTATAAAAGAAAGAGGCTAGAGAAATAGTTGAGCAGACTATGGGCCTGCTTAGGCAAGCACAGGGACCAGGGTTTGATCCTCGACACCACATGCTGTACCAGCCCTGCCCCTGGGAGTGCTGAGCTGACCACCAAATTGGGCATAGTGGTGCATGTCTGTAATCCCAGTGCTGGGGAGGCTGAAAGCAGAGGGATCACAAGTCTGAGCTGCGAGTAGTGAGACCCTGCAGCAAACAAATACATAAAAATAAATAAAATAAAATAAGAAAGAAAGAAATTCCCAGGCCCAGCCAGATAGCTCAGTGGACTAAAGCACCTGCTTAGGCAGAGCACAGTGGCTGGGGTTCAATCCCCAGCATGCTGTACTGACCCTGACCCCAGGGCATGCTGAGACAGGTTTGAGACTGTGCGTGGTGGTGCACACCTGTAATCCCAGCGCTTGGGAGGCTGAAAACAAGAGGCTCGCTGTAAGTCTGATCTATGCAGTGAGATCCTATAGGCCTTGTACTATATAAGAAAGAAGAAAGAAAGAAAGAAAGAAAGAAAGAAAGAAAGAAAGAAAGAAAAAAGAAAGAAAGAAAGAAAGAAAGAAAGAAAAAAGAAAGAAAGAAAGAAAGAAAGAAAGAAAGAAAGAAAGAAAGAAAGAAAGAAAGAAAGAAAGAAAGTTCCTTTTAGTCGGGCGTGGTGGTGCACACATGTAAAAGCTAGCACCTCTGAGGGTGAAGCACGAGGGTTGCCATTAGTGCAAGGGAAGCCGGGACAACACTGTAAGAACCTGTCTCAAAAAAACAGAGAAATTCTCTTGTAAAATTATTGGACTTTAAAGTGAAGGAATACTATTTTGAACAGCCAGACAAAAAGAAAAATTCACTTATGCAGAGGGAGAGCAAAGAAAAAAATCTTTTAGAGAATACAGTTCTGCCTGCCAAAAACTATTTCATTCAGAAGCGTCAGTTCCAAAGAATAAAGTACAAAATAAAATTATTACATTTCATTGTTGTAATAATTTTGTTAAATAACTAGATTCACCCATTCTGTATATTCTGTTGTATGATTAGTTGAGGAAACTGTTAAAACCAACTTCTAGTAGGAAATCAATGTCTGACAAAAAGCTTTCCACATTATTTAGAAGAGGGAGGATGCATAAGATGTATCAAAGTACAGTTAGATAAGAAAATAAGCTCGCATGGTGTGTAGCTGAGTAGGGAGATTACACTTACCAACAGCTTCTTGCACGTTTTATGACGAACCAGAGGAGAGGAGTTTAAAGGTCCAAACATAAATGATAAGTACAAGAGGATTCGGAAATGCTAATTACCTGGTTTGATCATTCGGCTCTGCACACATGGACTCATTTCTTCTCAGTCAGGTACACACGTACCCAAACGTTTGCAAATATTATTGGTCAATTACAAAGAAAACCCGGAGGAAAGGCACGAGGTTTAACGATGTACCACAAGAGGGAGCCCCTCTGTCGTGCATGAATTAGAGAAGCGCTGCCTTAAAATGAATGCTTCTGACG